TCATTGCTGGTATCAGACAGATCGTGACTGAAAGTAGAAAATGCCAGAGGATGTTTATTTATGCCTTATTTACTATACAAAGAAATTCAGCTGTATAGGTCATAATAAACTATGGCTAACATTGAGAAAAATGGGAATCCCAAAACACTTGATTGTGCTCATGTAGAATTATAATTAGACCAGGAAGCTACTGTGCAAACAGAATAAAGGAACACAGCTAGTTTAGTTCAAGAAAGGTGCACCTCAAGGTTGTATCCTTTCTCCATGTCCATGTATTCAATCTGTGTGCCAAACAAACCATTCAAGAAGTTGGATTTTTTTGAAGAGGAGTGTGGCATCAGGATCTAAGAAAGATTCATGAACAATCTGCTCTATACAGATGATACAACTTTGCTGCAGAATGCAAAGAGGATTTGAAACTCTTATTACAGAAGATCAAAAACTGTAGCCTTCAATATGGATTATGTCTCAGCAGCAAAAAGACAAAAATCCTCACAACTGGGCCAATAGCAACATCATGATAGAGAAAATATTGAAATTGTCAACAATTTTATCTTGATTGGATCCACAGTAAACACCCTTGAAAACAGCCATCAAGAAACCAAAAGACATATTGCACTGAGTAAATCTGCTATCAGGGATCGGTCCAAAATAGTAAAGAGCAATGATGTCAGTTTAAAGATTAAAGTGCATTAATTCAAGCCAATTGGCAGCACCATGATAGATGAAGAAGAGATTGAGATTATTAACAATTACAGCTTGCTTGGCTCCACAATCAACACTTTTAGCATCAGCAGTCGAAAGATCAGGAAATCAAAAAACTAATTGCATTGGGAAACTCTGCTGTCAGGGACCTCTCCAGAGTACTGAAAAGCAACAATATAAGTCTAGAGACTAATCCAGGCCATGATCTTCGCAATGACTTGCTATGCTTCAGATAGCTGGAAAATGACTAAGGATCACAGAAGAAACAATGCCTTCAAATTCTGGTGCTAGAGAAGAGTCTTGGACATACTGTGGACCACCAAGAAACAAATAGGTCAGTCTTGGAGAGGGTGAAGCTAGGATTTTGAAGCTCTGTCTCACATATTTTGGGCATGTGGCCAGGAGGGACCAGTCCTTAGAGAATGCTATCATGCTTGGAACGGTGGAGGGACAGCAAAGAAAAAGAAGACCCCAGATAAGATGGATTGATACAGTTAACTGCGGTAATGGGTGTAAGTGTGTCAGAATCCATGAAACAGGCTCAGGACAGGGCAGACTTCAAAGCTGCTGTATATAGGGTTACTATGAGTTGCAGGTGATTCAATGGTACAATACAGCTATGGTCTTTTCTATTACTTGTTATGCATCTGAAAGTTGGACAAAAACCAAAAAGCAAGAGTTGATTGCTTTGAGTTGTGGGGTGGGAGAAGAGTACTGAATATACTTTGGACTGCCTAAATTAAAAAAAAAAATGTCTTGGAGAGTGTGTAGCCAGGATATTTCTTGGAGGTAAGATGGTGAAGCTTCGTCTCATTCATTTTGGGTATGTTGTTAGGAGGGGCTGGTCCTTGGAAAAGGACATTATATTTGAAAAGGTAGAGGGTCACTGGAAGAGAGGATGACTCTTAATGAATCCGATTAAGAAAGTAATTGTAATTATGTACTCAAGTATATCTGAGATGGTGAGGATGGAACAGAATAGAGCAAGGTTTAGATCCACTGTTCATAGGGTCACCATGACTTGTAATAAATCCAGTGGCACTTATCAACAACAGCATCCCTATAGCATGTAATCTAAAGCACATACTTCCTTTTAAATTGCATAGATTTTGTAACTCTCATTACATTCACAGGACTTGACTACTTCAGTATTTTCTCCATTTATCGTGGTGTTGGTTATGGGTCCAGAGATGAGAATTTTTGTTTTCTTTAAATTTTATTAATTTTAATGAACATTTACAGAGATTTTGGGTTTTCATTCATTCATTGTTGCACTATTTTCTCTACCCTCTTCCCCAGTTCATTCCTTTTTTTTCCACCCTTGAAAGTATGTTTTACTTGTCCATTGCCACAGTGCTTGTCAAAGCCAGTTCTGATTAATCTACTTTGTCAGTGTGTCCTTTGCCATTCCCTATCACTCCTCCCTGAGAGACTCTTCACCCTGATTCATAAGGAAAAGAGGATAGCGTATTCTCTTAGCTACTTCCTGCTGAAAAGGGACACTGTAGATTTCAGGGTGAAGATCTTCTCTCACTACTCTAAAGGGCCTCTTTGGCAATAGGAAACACAGACTATTGTGGAGATTGATTTTGGAATTTAAATGCACTGTTATCAATTGTGCTTAGCTGTACATGTTCATATCCTTGAAGATGTATCATGGAAGTGTTGCAGCCTAGAAGGCACAAATTTAACTAACAAGTTAAAAGTACATGAGTCAAAACTTAAAAAGCATAATATTCCAAGTAGAGGCTCTAATAGTGGCACAAATCAAGTTACAGAGGGAAGGTAGCTCTTACAATAAAAGGCCTACTGACTAGCACTTTGTTTTCTTGACCTTGAGATGTAACTCATGTTCAAGGCTGCACTTTTTTATCTTATGCAGTAACTATTTCAACTGAAATCCCCTTTCATTTCAGCAGACAAGGTTGTGTCATCTGAGTAATGCAAGTCGTTAATGAGCATTCCTTCAATCCTCTGTCACGTTGTTCTTAATATAGTCCAACTTTTCAAATTAATTTTCCAACAAAGAATGAATAGATGTGGAAAAAGAACACCCTGAAACCTATCTTTCTGGATTTTATACCATGCACTGCTCCTTGTTCTATTCAGATAAGTACTTCTTTAACATTTCTGGGATTCTCCTTCTTCCCAATGTTAATAATAAGTTGCCATGACCCACAGTCTGTAAATATTAACAGGAGACAACCCATTTCTCTTTCTCCATCCTCACTGCCAACGGATTCTAACTGCTGGAGCAGCACAGCCTTTGGGTTTGCAAAACAATTAGTTACAGTCTATGCCACCAGAACTCCCTCAAAAAAGACTTTAGAGGATGATTTTTAAGGTTTAGAGCTTATTTTAGACATTAGTTTTTGAGTTATCCACTCTCCGTGGTTCCAGAAGCTGGACTCTCTGAAGAACGTAGCATCAGGATCAGAGGAAAACTCATTAACCAACTACATTATGCAGAGACACAAGCCTGCTTGCTGAAAATAAGCCTTGAGACCCTTGCTGCAGATCAGGAAGTGCATCCTTCAATATGGATTATATCTCAACACCAAGAAAACAAAAATCACTACTGGGCAAAGGGGCAATATCCTGATAGATAAAGGATTCAAATTGCCAATTATTTCATCTTACCTTTTTGAGGAGCACTGATGTCAGTTTGAAAGCTAAAATGCACCCGATTCAAGCCATTATTATTTTTTGTTTTTTCAATCACTTGCTATACTGCTGAAAGCTGGACAATGAAGAGGATGACAAGAATTCTTGATGCTTTTGAGTTGTGGTGTTGGGATGCTGCCGAAAGAATGAACAGGTATGTTTTGGAAAAAGGTGCAGCCCGGGTGCTCCTTGAAGGCAAAAATGGCAAAGCTTTGTCTCATACTTTGGGCAAGTTGCTAGGAAAGGCTATTACTTAAGAGATGGATCATGCTTAATAAGGAGGAGGGCTGATAAAAGAGAGGAAGACTCCCAGCAAGAGAAATTGACATGGTGACTGCAGCAATAGGGTCAAGTGTACCAGAAATGGTGAGGACGGCACAGGATCCCCTATGGGTCATACTCAACCAACAATGGTGGTCCTATTTTAATTGTTTTGAGGAATCACCACACTCTCTCAAAATGGCTACATCATATTACATTCCCCGTCAGCAATGAATAAGGATTCCACTATCCTAACGTTTATTTCCTGTTTTGTGTTTATCTTAACCATCCTACAGGAAGTGAAATGATCTCTGTGGTTTTTATTCTTACCTCTTGCTCAGGTCCACAGCCAACACTTGGCAGTAGCAGTAAGGAAATCAAAAGACAAGTTGCTTTGGGATAGTCTGCTGTCAAGGACCTCTCCAGTGTGCTAAGAAGCAACAATGTCAATCTAGAGACTAAATTAAGGTGTGCCTGATTCAAATCATAGTCTTCTCAATTACTTGCTGTGCATCTGACAGCTAGACAATGACTTAAGGATGAGAGCTGAATAATCATAAAAATACACCTCCTAAAAGCAGGACTATACATATCCTCGGTTTTTAAAAAAATTATCACCCTTTTTTCACCTAGAAGCCTAGTGGGCCTCAATAAAAACAGCTAGCAGCTCTTGCTCCACCGTTTCTGTCTGGCAGCTGTATTTAAATATGGTCCACCTTGCCTGGCCTGACTTCTCACCTGGGCTCTGGTTTCGCTCCTTTGAGTTGCTTGCCAAAAGAACAAACAAGTTTGTCTTGCAGGAAGTATAACCAGACTCCTGTTCCACTTCCTGGAATTGGGTTTATATGTAGGAGAAAGTAGCGTTCTTGGACTTGTGATAACTCACTCTATAGGGAATCATGCTGAGGGGTGGGGGAGGAAGATCCTAACTCCCATGAGGATGAGTCTGGTCAAGAATGGGTGAGGAGGTAGTGCTGCCATTTAAGAGCTGGGGAGGTGGGGAGTTGAAATAAGGTCATCGGACCTAAAAACAGGAGGTTTGTTCTCCGTGTTTTACTAGAATGTATAGGTTTCCTCATGATCCATGTACCATTCCGTACCTTTACGCCTCCCAGTTATTTCCCTCCCCGGCTTTAACCCTCCTCTCACCAGCCTCCTACCTCCAGTTACATGCTCCACACCAAGTCAAGAACACTCAAAAACCAGGTTCTAATGAAAGCAAATCAGATTTATCTTTATTGTTTCCAGCTTTGCGAGGGAGTGAGGTCTCAAGGATGGTCCACGGTCAGGATTCGATCTTTCCAGTCCTGTGTAGCCGCTTTTTCCTGCGCCAACTATCTTCCCGTTCTCCAAAGGCTTTTCTTCCCCAGGCTCTGGAAAATACCCTCGTATCTTCTGCCTTAACGCGTTCAAGGCCGTGGTGCATATCCGAGCTTTAACCATAAAATGGCGATTTTCCACAAACACTCGGTAGTTCGGCCGGTCCCGGGGGAAGGATGGGGGTCAGGGGGAGGGGGTAACCAGGCCGGGTCAGCCCCTCCGGGCTAACCCAGGTTACGAACCCGGACGAAGCGGAGCTGGGGGGGCGGGAGCACGCGTGCCCCGGCGAGGAAATCGGCAGCTCGTGCTTCCGGGCGCTCCGGGACCCCCTGTGCGTTCTCGCGCCGCCGGAGCTGGTTCCCCTCACGGGCGAGCTGCCGGAAGACGTCTCGCATCGCCAGATGCAGCATGGCCACGGCTTGGTCCCACTGCAACCCATGAGTAGGGAACTGCTGCATCCTGCCGGGGAGCGCAGCGCCGTGCTCGGTGGGCCGCCTTCGCCGGTGGTGCCTTCGCTGCGGCAGTCCCAGCACGGGACTTTCTTGTTGCACTAACATAGCTGCTGGATTCAGACTCCTTTAATCAGACGAAAGTCTACTACAGCGGTGCGGTAAGCTGCCGGCGGAGACGCTACCAAGTCCGAGACTACTGTGGCCCGGACTCCACAACGTCACAGAGGAGCGTAGCGCGGCGTCCCTGGACGTCAGCGTAGAACCGCCCACTGGTTGGGAAGGGGCGGAGATAAGCGTCGTTTGGCTTCAAGCGGTGCTGATTGGCTGAAGGGAACATCTCTCAGGGATTGGTGGAGTTAGACTAGGCGCTGAGAGGAAGAATTTATCAAATAGCTGAGATCTAGGCCGCACCTAGAGTTTCTTATGCTTGACTGTTGTGGCACAAACTGACCCAGAGAAGTTCCTTCTCTCACTCTAAATGCATTCTTCTCAGGATTTTTGAGCAATATACTCTTTCCTCCAGGGAAGTGGAAGATAGTTTTTCTCTTTGTAGCGACTGTATTGAGAACCCAGAAAAGAACAGAAATACTAATAATCAGATAATAATAAAATATATAAAAATCTGGAGTTAGAAAACCAACAGGTAACAACATGCTCAATATTTCTCAAGTTAAAAAAAACGAAGACCTAATACCATGATCCAATTCATAATATTTTCAATAGTTTCATACCCTTGAAGTTGGATAACAAAAAATAGATGCCTTTTTATTCCGAAAAAAACAAATAAATTTATTACAGAGGAAGTAAAACTCAGAGTAATCCTTAGAAGCAAGGATGGTGAAATGTCATTTTACATGCTTTGGGCATGTTAGGAGGGGCTAGTCCTATGAAAAAGACATCAGTGAAAAGAAAAGTTAAGAGAGGAAGACTCGATGAGGTGAACTGACACAGTGAATGCAACAATGCACTCTAGGGCAAGGTTCAGATTTTGCTCTTCACAGAGTTACAGTGTGAGTCCAAGTCAACACCATCATGCAAACGACTGGATGCTACACAACAGGATGAAATTGGGAGCTTGTGGTCCTAAGAAAATTGGACAGTATGCATAATATGAGAGCAAGATACATGGAACCTTTTGGGTTGCTGTTATTGCTAGGTGCGATAGAGTCTAGTACTACTCACTGCAAAAATATGACAGATCTGAATCCTGTCGTATCCTGTACCTTCCTCATCATCTCTGATGCACTTGAGCTCATTGCTGGGTACAATTGTTGTGTCAATCCATCTCATTGACAATCTTCCTCCCTTTTGCTGACCTCCACCTTCCCAAGTGTGACATTTCTTTCTAAGGAAAAGCCTTTCCTAGCAACATGTCCAAAGTATGTGAGGAAAAATGTCTCCATTCTTGCTTCCAAGAAGCACTCTGGCTGCCCCCTTTCCATCAGTTTATTCTTTTGGCAGTCCATGGGATAATAAGTACATTTCTCCAACACCACAACCTAAGGCATCAATTCTCTTTCTATCATTCTTACTCAATGTCCAGTCTCAGATGCATAGCAAGTGATTGAGGAGACTATGACTTGAATCAGGCATACCTTAATCTTTAAACTGACATCATTGCTCCTCAGTAATTTAGAGAGGTCCCTGACAACAAATATTTCCAGTGCATTGCATCTCCTGATCTCTTGCTGGTACCAAGTGTTTTAATTGTGGATCCAAGTAAGATGAAATAGTTGACAATTTCTATATTTTCTCTGTCTATCATGATGTTGTTTGTTATGAGCCACACAGTCAAATGCCTTTGCATAGTCAATGAAACACAGATAGACATTCCTCTGGTATTCCCTGCTTTCAGCTAAGATCCATCTAACATCAGCTACAATATCCCTAGTACCACGACCCCTTCTAAACCCAGCCTGGACTCCTGGTAGTTCTCTGTTGATGTGCTGTTCCAGTCGTTTTTGGATAATCTTCAGTAAAATCTTGCTTGCATGTGAAATCAGTGAGATTGTTCTGTAGTTTCCACATTCTGTTGGGTCACCTTTCTTTGGGATAGGAACAAATATCGATCTCTTCCAGTCAGTTGGCCAAGTGGTTGTTCTCCAGATTTCTTGGCACAACTTGGTGAGCACATCCAGGGCAGCATCTGTTAACTGAAATATGTCAATTGAAAAACTAGCCACAATCCAGTCTCCCTGGGGCCCTCTGGGCTATTCCATCAGCTCCCTGGTCCCTCTCTCTCAAAGACACGTTGTCTGTCGCCTCCATGGCAGGGGCAAGACAATGGCAGCTGGAACCAGGGCCAGTTCCCCCAGTTGTATCTTCTTCTCACACCTGGCAGGTAGGACACTGCAGGGAGCCCAACAGTTAGCACTCAGACCAGTTCCCAACTCAGACCGGGGCAAGAAGCTTTGAGAGGGCCGGAATTCACCCATTTGATCAGTTAACTGAAGAAGGATTCATTTTGGTACAACTTGCACTCCTTTGAGACACTTCAATGAGTTGTTTGGGAGGTTGAGGGGGGGGTAGTGGAAAGGAAGGGGTAGCTGAAGGAAAGGCATCTGAGTGCTGCTGATGAACTCTGGCCACACTGCAGCCTGTGTGTGGACCTCAGCAGGAGGTAAACCCTGGCTCTGTGACACATGTCAAGCCCTCCTGGCAATTCTGGGCAAGGCTGACATCTGGGAAGCAGCTTATCCAAGCTTGTCACTGAGGAACCATCAAAATTTAACAAAAATCCTGCCTTTTATTTTCTGTCCCAAGTGGTTTTCAGACACCACATGAGGGGCTTGGTTGTCAGGGCCAGGAGCAACCAAAGGAGGCAGGTTTGTTCAGAACATGCTTCCCCTGACAGAGGACAGAACATAGACCTTCAAACATCCATGGAACAATGTGCAAATTACAATGATGGGTACAGTAAAACCTCTGCTTTGAGTGCAGTATCTCAGGCAAACATGAGGACAGCTGTTGCCAATGCTGCTGAATACAACTGAGTACAAAATTGGACATTTGTACGGTGAACAGTTAATACATTAAATAAATTACTTTGAGAGGGTCATGTTTGTTCCAAGTGTTCTGGTTAACATGAGCAAAATGGCTGCTTCAAAGCATATTCACAGGAAAACAGGGCATCGGGGCTCATACACAATGGACAGATACACACAGTATTCAGACTTCACTTTGTTCAACATGGATTTTGGTTTTGTGGAATCCAAATGTAGACACTTGTTCACCTCACAGTCTTGGATTTGTCTATTTTTTTTTTGTACATATATTTAGATATATTTGGTTTTTCCTTTCTTACTATTACATCAATGACTAGTCAGAGTATCATCGTGCCTGCTTGGTTTTTTTGTTTGCTGTTAGAAGTGCACCACCTCTCTGTCAGTTCACTCTATTGTGGAAATAACTGGCATATTGCTAAGTACTTTATGACTTAGAGGTGTGTATATGCTCACTTGTTTATCATTTGCTCTTATTACTATTAGTATAACACTTGTCTGTCAGTTTGCTGTACTGGAGTAAATTGTGGGTTGCTGGGGTGCTGGAAGCTGTGACACCAGAGTGTCAAATGCTAGAAGGGTCATCCATGGTGGTCAGGTTTCAGCCAAGCTCCTAGATTAAGACAGATGAGGAAATAGGATTGGCCATCCCCTTCAGAAATGACAGGCCTCTAAAAACCCTCAGAACAATAGAGGAACACAAACAGCTATAGTATCAGAGGTAGAGCCCAGACTAGAAGTCACTCAAAATGAAGAGAAACAGCTACAAACATCCTTTAGTAATTGGAATATTGAATGTATGAAATACAAATGTAGAAAAACTAGAAATTGTAAAAAAGAAATTGAATGCATAAAGATTAACATGCTAGGTAGTGAACTGAGATGGACTGGCATGGGCCACTTTGAATCAGACCATTTGTGGAGTTTATATTTCAATATGACTTTCCCTAGCCATCTTTTGACTTTGCTATGTATATGGGCAGGAATATGCGAATGGGACCTGTTAGTCTACTCACAAGGGGATTGAAAATCTACCATTCCACAAGGGGATTGTCCTGTTTCAACAATCTATAAGGGGATTGTCTAGTCTCACCAATAAATTGAACAGCTTTAGTGACAGAAACTGAACAAGAAGTAAGACTGTGTGGGATATCCTTCTTGCTCCAGCTACACCTGTGGCAGCTACACCTATGGCAGCAACACTAATAGCCAAACTGAAGACCTGATATGAAATGGGACCTTGGGAGGTAGGGAACCAATTTTGGCATGGCTGTGAACTTTGTTAGACAACTAAGGGTGGAAAGCCAATATTGGCAGAACTGAGAACAACACTGACCTAAAGGCCATGAGGCTCAAGACTGAGGTGCCTGCGTGCACATTTTGAGAGCTGTGTTCTATTATTAACGTGTATATTAACCTTTTGACTTCCCCAATATGGTTCTGTGTGGTCTGTGAGCTATCACATCTGATTTTTGGACCCAGAAAAGCAGTAAGATTGGTGTTGAGATGAGTAGAAAGAGATATGGGAGCATGCGAGACATATGTGATCTCTTGGGAATTGGTTTTGTGTTATTGATGCTGTTGACAGGGACAATTACCCTTTGTAAAGTTGATAAGGATCATCTATGGCTATCCCTGCTTGGCTCTTGCTCTTTTTACACAATCATGTGATCTATTTTTCCAGGAATGAAAAACTGAAG